AAAAAAAAAAAAAAAAAAAAAAAAAGGAACCATTATCGGTTCAAGTTTCTGCAATTCATGAACACTGCAACTCGTGAATATTCTAAAATCTCCTTGTCGTCCATGCATACCCAATAAGACAACTGATAAATACAATGGATCGCTTGTTCAGAAAGTCTCAATCAACAAGACAACCAAGCCAACACAAGACTAAAGCTTTGTCTACTGTGCAGTTTAAGAATCTGATTTTTTATATTTATGCTTTTTCTGTTGCTCCATCATTTTCACGAGCTGTGTTTGTTTCAACAAATTAACTGCATGAACAATAAAAATTCAAACCTCACGAGCTCTATTTGTTTCAATTAATCATTTGCATGAACAATAAAATTCAAACCTCGCGGAGTTTATCCTCTGAATAGCAATGACGCAACCCACAAACGAACACTTCAGATCCTCTAATAGCATTTTCTTCTAGCATGGCGAATTTCAAGACATCCCGTCAAATGAATTGAACGCAAAAATGTGAAATAACTAGCAAAAGCATTTCATGATTAAAAGATTAAAACTTTATCACGAAATTTTGAGTGGAGGGCGCGTACGTTGGCTCATAGAATGTTGCTCGGGCGGCAGACTCATCAAACGAAAATTTACCAAGAAGTACTGCAATGCAACATAAAACATCGGATTATAGAAACTAAAAACTATCGCCACGCATGTTCTTCAGCACTGATCATGAGCTGAGATTCTATAACAGTAGCTCGAATATAAATGGGGTTGTCATATAAACCGAACAAAGAGAAGCCCAACTGCGCAATCCTCAAATACAGATAAAATTCAGCAACCTTACAACACAGCAGGAATTTTTACATTTTTCTGTTTATTCTTGTTCTTTTTTCTTTTTAACTTATGCAACACCAGCTCAAATTCAAAAATGTGTATGAGCATATATACAAAGCTAATACCTTTCCGACGGTGAAATTGGATTTGGAAGGCACGAGATGATATGGATATGAATAATAAACCCTAAATTAAAGTTTTGTTCTTGATAGATTGGGAATTGACTGAGTAGCAATGACTTTGGGGCGCCATTGGTCGATTTTGACTGACCGTGCAACTTTTTTGACATTTTTTAATTCAAATGTTAACTTGAATTTTATTCAATCTAATTTTTTAATATTAATAATAAAATTGAATAATTAATATCAATTAATTATCTATCATACCAATTTTAATTCACTATTTATTCACACATATATTTCTAATTGCATGTCATTTCAAACAATCTCTCTATTAATTTTACATAAAGTATTATTTAAATATAAACTTTAGAATTTAAATTCAACTTTAATCATTGCAAATTAAATAATATTTAAATGCAAACTCAAAGACTTACACGATTCTTCCGTCAAAGAACTTTATTCAAGTAGAGATTACCGTAGTAAGTAAAACGACTAACTAACTTTAACCAGTAAATCAGATCAAAATTATTATTATTTATAACTAATCTCGTCCAAGTTGCTAATCATAAAAGTACATATTTTATGAGCCTCTAACTTCAGTGCTTTGATCTGGTGTGTGGTGTCTATATTATTTGTCATTAGTTTATTATGATATATCAAATTAATTATTTGATTTGACCATGTTCGATATGAGATTGACTACTTATATGGTTGACTACATAGAAACTTGATGTAATTGACCTCAAACGGATTAATATGTTTTATTAAGACTTAGAAAGAGATGTTCATACAATTTAGACGAGCAATCAACCTAAAACAGGTGAATATGTTTTATTAAGACTCTGAAAGAGATGTTCAAGGTGAAACTCATTTGAAATTAAGATTGAATGAGAGGTAATTGCTTTGTATATACGTTTTTAATTGGGGTTGAATCGATGTCACACTTAAGGGTGGTACCATCATCTGTTGGATGAGGGACAAGTGTCCCTCTTTTGTAAAAATAAAATGAGGGCACCCGGGTGACATCAAATGAACCGTACTAATCATAGTTTAATTGATCAAAACGCATGCGAAGAGTCAAATTTGTACGGGAGATGAAATTGAGAGTCTATTTAAACATTTTGGCAGTATCAAAGGTCAATTCAAGTTTTGCAGGTATCGAATGTCGATCCGTACAAACGAGAAGCCAAATAGAATACCAAAGTGAAAAATATACTAAAGTGGAACACCTTTGAAAATATCATAATTATTATTTAGAAAGTTACACTATTTCACTTTCAGATTTAACTTTATGTGTACATATACATTTTTTTTTAAATTGCAAATATATCAACTCTTTAAAAATTTATGAATGCTTGATTTGTAATTTATTTTGGATAATTGTTTTTCAAATTGCATTATTGTTTGATTTAGGACTAGTTTACAAATGATTTAAGTATAAAAAACAAATGAATAAAAAGTGTGCGATCCCAATAATATTGTCCAAATAAAATGGCATCACGAGGAAAATATTGATCTTGGCGCCCAAACAACTCAATAGCCCAACCTATTCTCCAAAAATAATAAAGCCCACAATCAAGGCCCAACACTCTAAACAGGCCACACACCACACAGGCCGACCGGGGAGGACTATATATAACCTCGTTTAACCCTAATCCACAAAACCCTACCGTCGGCAGTGCCTTCTTGCATCTCGCATTTCTCCAGAGGTGGTAAATTGAGCTGCCTGAGCTTGATCTCCTCAGCAATGGCGACTGCGAAAACCGTCAAGGATGTCTCTCCGCACGAGTTCGTCAAATCCTATGCCTCCCACCTCAAGCGCTCGGGGAAGGTGGGAATGTTTTTTGCCCATACGTGCTACTGTGTTATCGGTTTTTCATTTTAATTTATTTTTTCTCACTTAATCATCTTAAGAGAATGCATGTTTTTGAAAAAGGGTATGTATTTTGAGGTGGGACTTGTGAAAAGTCTTAATTTTTGGGAGTAGCGAGTGAAGAAGGTTATTGTCTGTGGTATTAGTTTTTCGGTTGTTTGATTCTTGGCACTGTTTGTAGTAAATGTTTTCTGATGATGCAGTTTTACTCTGTTGCTGATTTAACCATTGTTTTTCTAGAGCCTGCTTTATTGTTTGCTTGTGATGTAATGATTTTGCTCAGGCCGAGAAGTATAGAACTAAATTGTGGAACTGATTTGTCACTCTGAGATTATTGATGATTGGATATTGGAAAATCAAGATTAGTTATCATCTAGCCTGAAATAAGTAAAGTTAACCCGACAGTTATGGTTCATGTTTTCTTCTCTGTTAATGAAGATCTTTACCTGGTTTGCATTATTCTACCCCCACAAAGTGTTTTGTGCAGAGAAAGGGTTTTGTTTTTTTTACATTTGTTCCCCTCAGCTATTTTACCTACTTATTTTATTTATTATTGCACGATCAACAGATGGAGCTGCCCGAGTGGACTGATTTGGTAAAAACTGGTGTCCTGAAAGAGCTTGCGCCATATGATCCTGATTGGTACTACATAAGGGCTGGTAATCCACTCATGCACTTTATCTCATTTGCAGCGTATAAGTAAAACCTCTCATCAATTCTAACAACCATGCTTACAACAACCTTCGTTTTTCCTCCCTCCCATTTTTTTTTTCAAGTCAAACAGAATTATATATGTTGCATGTTATGAACTGCCTATCTAGGACTTCATTTGAAGAATGCTTTCTTATCTTACTTTTTGGGGTTGTGTTGTGTTTTGTAGCTTCCATGGCTCGAAAGATCTACTTAAGGGGAGGACTTGGTGTTGGTGCCTTCCGAAGGATTTACGGTGGAAGCAAGAGAAATGGCAGCCGTCCGCCCCATTTTGGCAAGAGCAGTGGTTCTGTGGCTCGTCACATTCTTCAGCAGTTGCAGAAGATGAGCATTGTTGAGGTGGATCCAAGAGGGTAAGTTCAGTATTGATTGTGTTGAGTAATGTTCATGTGGGATCATTTGCTTTTTTGTTATCTGAAGCTTAGTTGGCATGGAAAGTATGTTGAATCTTTGTACTTGTGTCATTATGGTATGATTGCATGAATTATACCCGATAGTCTTAGCTTACTTACAAAAGTAAAGAAGATTCAGTATTGATTGCTTTGAATAATGTTCCCATGGGATCATTTCCTTGTTATCTGCAGCATGCATTTAGTTGGCAAGGAAAGTATGTTGAATCTTTGTACTTGTTTTCATTATGTTATGGTTGCATGAATTATACCCGATGGTCTTAGCTTAATTAGTTACAAAATTGAAAAAGAAATTCCAGTCCATATTTGAAACAATGAAAGTTGAACTAAATGTATATAATAGTTGATTCAGCAATAATTTTTCTCACCCCCTTAATGGTGGATTCATTTCGTAAAATACTTTTAAATATTTGTGTAAGTGTGTAATTGCTTTATTTGCCAAAATCTATGGTTTCTCCTCATTTAAAATCTTATCATCCGGTTTTAGCTGCCTTTCTTAAATAGTAATTGTTGTCTGTGTAACAGTGGACGTCGGATCACATCCAGCGGGCAAAGGGATTTGGACCAAGTTGCAGGAAGAATTGTTGTGGTTGCACCATAGATTATTTATTTAGTTTAATTTGTGTTATTAGCTTGTTGGGAACTTCAGTTGAGAAGAACTCTCTGGACAAAGTTTTGGTTTAAAATGTTTGCCTTTTAAGTTCTGATTTTGCTGCTGGTTATTGCAGTGTCGATGAGATGTACTGTGGATTATGAATTATCGAGTTATGTCGTGATATGATTTAGTTACTGAGTAATTGTTGATTTTCAATTTTTCACTAATTCATGGTAAAAGCAGGAAAGATTTTGTTGAACCTTAAAACATCGAGTCATTACAAGGCTGTTCTCTGGACTACTTTCATGTTTGTTCACTACATTCTCTATTTTATACAAAATAACCACCACATTCGCTCGATTCTTGGATAAGTAATGGTATCAATATTCAATGAACTTTTAATTAAATGTTACTTCAAATTCAATTGTACTCCTTTTGTAAAAGAAAAAAAATACTTAATCAAGTTTTTCTTTGTGACGACCTAAATGATTAATATATCTTGTTGCTTAATTAGATGACTGGGATGATTAATTTACTGAATTACTTAGGTATGTAACTGCAGTGTGATTGCTTCATTTGATGACTGGGATGATTAATTTACTGAATTACTTAGGTATGTAACTGCAGTGTGATTGTTGTATGTAGTGTTGTTAAGTTACTAGAAATTAATTAAGAGTAAATACTTGTGATATGATCCAATAGCTACATCATGTATGATATTTGTTGCCAGAGACGAATTTAGTTACTTTTCTTGTGTTGGTGTAGATTAAAAGCACTTTAAATTTGTTAAATGCTCTATTTGGCATATAAATTTGTATTAAATCAGTAAACACCCATTTGAGGCTTCTTGTCAGCTGGAGAAACCTTACAAATTCACTTTCTAAGCCATTATATGGAAGCTTATATCAGCGAAAAGCACCACAGGCACTACAGTACTCTACAACTGAAGGCTCTTGTGGCTTTTGCAATGAAAACCATAGATGCCTTCCAAGTTCTAGCAGAAAAAACTAAAAGCTCGAATCCCCGCAAACTGAAATTACTGAAGCTAGGTGGAACTTAGTGAAGATTTCATAAGTGCCCAACCAAACACTTTTTGTATCTCGAAAAATGTCAAAGTACCCCACATATTATTGGAACATATACAAATGCAATGAATAAA